TTAACTAAATGTATAAACCTGCTGCAGTTGAAATTTTATCGCTTAATAAGTTTACCAGAATGAAATACCTATCATACAGTAAAAATATATATTCTAGGTACCTAATATATACAACTATCAGTTAATCAATTAAAGCAATATAAGATAACAATACTAGTTTCTCTCTACCGCGATGGCCAATGCGGTTGTATGAACAAACCTTGCATAATCTTTCTGCTTAGGAATTATATTGTTAAAAACATATAATATATGTCCTCTTTGTCATAATAATACGCTCAAATTAAGGTTTAAAACTAAGCATTTCAATATTTTAAAGTTATTTTTGCGAATCATAATAAATTTAAGCCCAAATTTTTTTTATTATGATTTTAATTGACCTTCAGAATTCACTGTAACATCCATAATTCCTAATTATATAGTATTAAGTTGGATATCATACTAAATTGATAACCAAAACGGTCTGCACAAAGTCCATTAGCCTAATAAATTTCTGGGATGAATTTAATCAGATTTCTGGCATTTCGAAATGCATTTCATCATTCGTAGCATAATTTTGTATTTATTGTATGACTTATATAAATTGCTGCTATAAAATATTCATCACAATTGATTACATTTCTGAATAAATTGCATCAATATAAAACCATTCTGAAAAACATTTGTCATTTTAATCTGTATAGATTAGATTTCGAATGAATTTTAAGAAACAAGAGTAATTTAGAGAAGTATTGTGCATTACTTGATTCCCAAAGAGGGTTGATGTCAGGCAGGCGGCCGGTCGTAAAAACAAATAGCCAAAAAATTTTCACAACATGTAAGGCAGACCCTGGCTATAGCTGGGAAATTGCCAGGTAGAAGAAGAAGAAGATTGTGCATTACTTATAAGTTCGGGTACTTAATTCTAGAGAGAAGACACTGGCAAGGAAATTTGGTGTATACTTAATTGTTGAATTAACAATATCGTCATAATTGCTCTACCCTAATTATATCATAGAGTTTACTTTGCTAAGTTTAGATCTAAGTTTGCTTTAAACACTCATATTGAATTAAAAACTTTGCCAAGAACTTAGGTACCAGTAATAAGATGTTATAAGTTCACAAGTATGATGTATGTGCCGGGAGCGTAAATATATTTTCTATATTAGCAGCGCCATCTTGTAACAAAATATAGTAATAATTTTGTAAAGAAATAATTGAAGTAACCATTAATTTCTATTATTTTCTTAGAACTTTAATAATATTTTTGTCATGGACTTGAGAGATCAATGGAGCTAATTAATCTGTTTATATTAGGCGACGATTGCTATTGACTTACAATTATATTATTAGAAGCTCAGAAAAGTCAAGTATTGTGCAGAAAATTAATTTACAAGCAAAACATTTATTTTAATCAATTAACAATTTTCGTTAGTTTTCATTAAAATGATGAAGTACGAGTCAAAATAAATAAGCCAATACAGTATGTATTTGTGTATATGTACATATACTTTCACACACGAGCCGCTGTTCAATGAAAATGCTAGTAATCATCTGGCAACATGTTTTTTGAAAAGCCTTTAAAAGTTTTAAAGCAGAATTTAATCATTTTCGTAGAATTTTATACCTAAGGAATGAAATTAATGATTTATACACAAAAGTGCAATGTACACAATTTTTTTTTCTATATTCTGAAGAATAATTTCAAGGTCCATATTTTAACCACAGCTTACTGCTGCTATAATCACTCGTTAAAGTATTTAATAAAATGTCCATTTAATTAGAGAGAAAACATATTATTATACATTTTTTATCTAAATTTATAGAAAAATCAATTTTAAAACTTCATAGACGAGATATTGCTTTAAGTATTTAAACCAAACTTATATATTAAGTTTATTCATGTTGATTATAAAAATAAACAAATATAAACATAGAATATTCTATGTATATACCTGTAAACATTTGAGATTTTACACAAAAATGGTCCATATAAAGTCCTCTTAATTAATATCTTCTCGAGATGAGTTAAATCTGGCTAGAAACAGAAATAAAGAAATTATGATAGTTCATAGTTAAATCAGGGCTTTTGTAAATTTTTTACTCTATTCCATCTGTTAGATATTTCATATTCCAATCTCATATAACAAAAATAAAAAGATATCTTAGCTGTACCTTTTATAACGTAAATTGTGCAATTACGAATGCAGTAACTATAAACTAGATTTATTACGTCATACAGGCTAAGGGGAAATGCAATTACTTTTTAATTCACGAACAATGGTGTAAAAGACATTTATTCTTTTATTCAATCAACTTTTCCGTTCCATGAATTCATAGTCAATTACAATAAAAGGTTTTATATAACTCAACAAGTAGGGTTGGTATTATTAAATATTTTTTTATATATGGTTTCATACAATAATATTTTACTTACCAGCCACTAAGTTTTTAGTCATAAATTAATTTCACAATGTTGATTTACTCATTACCATTTCTAAAACTTATATTGTAAAAAAATATTATTAATATAAAGCTATTCAATAGTAATTAATTTCTTACATGAATACAATACAGAGCAGTGGCAGTAATTCTCAACTTTCATCAGCTAATGTTCTGCAGAGTTATAATTCCCGTGTGTTTTAACAAACAACATTGAAGCTGTGCTTTTTTTAAACAGGTCAACCGTGACGGTCCGGTGCTTAAAAATATGTATGCTTTTTGTATAATAAATTAGCGGAAACAGTTTTTAATCGAAATATTTTTTATATTTTAATTACAAATATTTCATTGTATAATGTTTTACTTATACAGATAATTAGAAAGTATACCATTTATTATAAAACATGGCATTACATTATTTAACATATTAAACACAAACAAACTATAAAATTGAATAAAAGCGATTTTGTTTTAAATAAACAACTCTATATTCACATAAAATCTACATACGACTACAATAACATATTACAGGAACCAAGTTACCTTACAGCCAAAGTTAAGATTACTTAGGTTCTTATTTTATTTTCATTTATATTTCTGTTATTTACATTTATTATATAAGTCCTTCATTTTAATTCATACTTTAAAAAACAGTTTTGTAATTTCTTACATCTGAAATCAGTTATTCTATTTCGTAAGAGGTTAAAAAATTTAAGCTACATACTATAGATAACAGCATTAAAAAATATAATATTTGTATCTGTTCTCGCTTTTACATTTAAAATTATTTTGATTATTTTGTTGTTGACGGCAGTTGAGTGAATAACAAATGTTGTTGCCACACCTATTTTTCCACGTCTGAAGGAGGCGATTTCTTTTGTCAGAGGAATAGACTTCTGTAGGAAACAAATTCTTTATAGTGTTGTAATGTTGTCTACTTTAAAGATAATTAATTATTTAATTTTCCTGTAAACGAGGACATCGAAAAATAAATATGAAAGTAATAAAAAATACACACCGATTTTGATATTATTTAAGATATTTTTTTATGTACATATGTATGTAGAGGGATAAATATGTAGTTCTATTTGAAAAAAAGTAATACACACATTCTTTGCACGGGCGTTATGCTGCGAAAAGCACTTTTCTTTTTTATTTGAATAATATTCAAAAACCGTTTTCAAACGAAAATGATAACATTTTTCCAATAAATCACTTGCACTTCAAATATTTTTCGTTATTTTTTCCTTGTAATTCTCCGTTTGTAATAGCGATATATTTGTTTAACCCTGTGCTTGTAATACAGTATGCTGATATATGACATACAACTATTTTTATTAAAAGTAAGCATTTACAGCATTTGTCTGTCTTTTCTAACATCCCAAGCCGTGTGAACCAGAAGATTCCTGATACCTCACAAGCAAAGGAATGGCATTACTATCCTAACATCGGGGCAATGATGTATATAGTCTTAGGTATAGATCATAAGTATTAATAAGTAATTCATATTATAATATACATATAAGAAAGTTTCGTAGTTTTCCTGGAACCTTCGGTTGCCACCCTACTTAATTCCTATCATAACATTAATAGAAGATTGATTATTATTTAATATACTACGATTCTTGAAGATACGATACGATTGTAGAAGAACGAAACACTTAGAAAAGCCCAACCCATTAAAATAATACAAGTAAGAAACCAATCCTCTGTGAAATATCGAAATTAAAAAGATTTCATAAGAAGATATAATAATATTATCGAAGCAACTCAATTGTTTTGCCTTTCGACGAAAAACATGTTTTCTGATATTGTTACCCGAAACATAAAAAAGATGCTTACGAATCAATAACAGTCACCATTAAAGTTGTTCGTAAATTGATATTGTGATATCAGCGGCTCGTTGATGACGTCATCCCGCTTTCAACCAATGTCAAATACAGAATTGGATACATTTTTGTTTGAACACTTTTATTAATATTCGTTATTGAAAGCGCTGTTGAAATTATTTTGCTGTCATTTATATTATTTTATATTTTGGGTGGAGGCATTTGACTGACGTTTCTATTAATTTAAAGGCTACAGTAAACTGCGATAATTAAAGGTAAATTAAATTTTACATCAAAATTAATAATGTTTTTGTTTATCCAAATAAATAATAAGTAATAAGAAAATAAAATTGATTCACGTAGTCAATTAATAAAAAACAACTTTGAGAAGAGTAGTTTAAAAAATGTATAGTCTTTTCATTAATCTCTCTGACGATACCCAATTTCTACAAAGTGAAAGTCATTTACTGTCAGAAACTTTCAGGCCGTTCAGAGTTACGCAGACCAAAACTATATTATACAAGACTTCCCCAACTTTAATATATAATATCGGATCTGAACATTGTTATTTTTTGACTTCCTTATTACCTTTTAAATAAAGACCACTTTCGGATCACGGGTATCACTTTTAAAGAACAACATACAAATGTACCTGTATTTTTATTAAAATATTTTGAGTGAATCTTGATATTTTATATATAAATAACACGTTCCGTTTTATTGCATATAAAATTTGTTCCGTCGAAAATATTTTCAGACCGTATTTATATTAGGAACATCGAATCCCTTTGCGTCAGTTACTTCGAACGGTGGTTTGTCATTGACAATTATCCAGGTGGAGCCGCTCTCAGCCCGAGTTATGACGTCAATTACACCGGTTACAGCTGAAGTTACCCTGGAAATTAACGTTATCCTTTCAATTAATTATAATTTCACTGAGATAAATGTCACAAAACCATCATATTTTTTATATTTATTAAAAAAATAACATTACAACATGCAATCATTTAAAAAAATCTATGCCTTAAACTGCTAATCCTCCGTTAAAATGTAGCATAAATTTTAAGCTATGTGTTCTACCCACTCATGTTCGTTTTCCCTCAAGAGATTTTAATAAAAAATATTTTGTATATTGTTTGGAAAAAAGAAACATCCATCAAGAGTAACATGTAATAATACGTAATCCTTTTTAAAATACCAAATAAATGTAAGGGGATAAGAGAACATTCCTAACGTTTGTTTACGCCCATATACAGAAATAAATTTTTAACAATATAATTGATAACATTATGGTTTTATGTTTTGACCATTTAACTAAACACATGTTGGTTCTTATATTCATAATTATGGCTATAAATAAAATTAGTAAGTTATTTCGTTAGTTGCTAAGTATTTACAAACTAAAAATAAAATTTAAAGTTTTATAAGGCGAAAACCATTTGAATGATAAGTTACTAGAACCAAAAATACATAACTATGTTTGCGAGGCGCGCCATAAAATATTAACATCCAATTTTATTCGAAGATAGCAACTAGCGAGAAAACTGATATATGAGTAAATCTCACTACGATGGAACCTCGTATTTTATGCTAACGTCGTATACACCCTTTGGCATATTACAAGCGAATTTAATTTCGCAAATGTGACTGCCATAAAGTATGGAAATAGGAACATTTCGTGAGCAGAAACATTCTAGTCACCTATGTCATTCATCAAAGCCTCCATTAGGGACTGTACTGATTGCTTCTATACCTTTCAATAGCTTTTAATTGCTACTCTAAAGTTTAATATGACTATTTTATTACAAAATTATTTAATAATGAATTATATGATAACAATCTGAACTGTCTCTTTATTTATTTAGAGAAAAAAAGGAATATTATTAAAAGAAAATAATATGTTGTAACACAATATAACACGTCAAGACTTTTATTTCAATCATACTAAAGGACAAGCCTTGAATTAAAGAAAAGATTCTTTCCCAAATAACAGTAAAGAATTCGTCGAAAAAATCCCTAAAAAAAGAAAAAAATTTATGTCTAATCATAAATTTTTCAAATTTACTGAGTACGTCGACTCCATCAAACATACGCTTATTTAAAAATAGGCTATGTAAAATATAAATCAATTCATAACTTAATACAATTTTAAGGCATTTACAATCAGCTAGGGACAAAATCGAATTCATGGTTATTTAGAGAACAGCTGAGTAGCTGTCTAACATCAAAGAAATGAACATAAAAATGTTCTTGGTTGTTATACAAAAAATGTGTAATTTTTTTTTCTTGTTTTACCTCTGTGTCTCAAGAATGTCTCCACTTAAGTTATTCTGATTTTCTATGTAGTTGGATCTATGCAAGAGTGCTGTATCAGTCGGGCCCAAAAAGGCCGTGATTATACGGACCTTTGTCTTCGAATATGGTTCTCGGCTCTGAAAAAGGTTATATAAACCTATATATATGTATTATATATAATACATATATAATTTGTTTTACGTGTCTTTAAAATTAAATAATAAAAAAGTATGACCAACAGATACATATAACTTTTAAACAAAAAACGTACAATATCTACTGGGAACGCATCTAATACATAAATAAATAAAAGTCGTATTTAAAATTGTTACTTGTTATTTTTTAAAACAAATACACTTTAAACTGTATAAGTTTACTAACCTCAACCTCCTTACTTAGTTCTAATAAGATATTATTGCGCTGAGTTAAGCCCAAAAATGACGATAGATTTAATATAACACCGCCACTCCTCGATTTATCTGCACGCATTTCCTCCAAAGCATTAAAAGTACTTGCAATCACCGTATTCTATAAAAAAACAGTTTTTTTTCTATTAAACATTATTTACCCCAGAAATTGTGTTGGTAATAAAACAAAGAAAATACTTTAATATACTTGGATTATTATCACTACAAAAATGACATGTACTGTAATTCCACCTGCAGACAATATGGAGGAAAATCTAACAAGGGTCAAAATTCAATATTGAGGGCGTGTGTCATATAAATTTGCCACCAAATGTATAAGGTCGTACTGTTATTGCCTTCACACGTTTCATAGGCCTACTTGTATTGTTCAATTTCTCTTTCAAAAATACCAATAGAAAAGGTGATCTTTGAATTCTTTTATTATAACGGTTGACTTGAAAATAAAATTATTGGAAAATTCTTCATCCTTTATAGGAAATGTCGATAATGTTCTTCTTTAAAAGTTTTATACAAAGCAACGATATATGAAAAGAAAGTACATATGAATTCTAAAAAAAACTATTACTTGTAAGATTGTATATGTTTCTAAAAAATAGAACAATTATTCTACTCACATAACTGGCATCAATCATCTTTTCTAAGTTGTCATTATTAGCAACCATCACGTTGTTTATTACAGCATCAACTCTTCTGTATTTCTCTAATACCTGATTGTATGCACTTAAAAGTTGTTCTTCGTCAGTTATGTCACATTTTATGAACTTTGCTTTTAGGCCACCGTATTGGTTCAATAGTTCTCTCTCTAGACACTCTCCTTCACGCTCCAACACATCTAAGAAAACGACGTACTGTAATATCAAATAACGATTGAATTTATTTCACAATAAAACTAACATATAACTTGAGAAATTAAACATAATGATATATTTCCACTTTTCATTTTATTTTACAACGCTCACTTAAAGATATGAAAATAATTATACACCTACCATAGCATTATGTGAGACCAAATATCGTATTAACCCTGCCCCGATACCAATTACACCGCCAGCGACCAAAACCACTTTCCCTTCAATGGAATAACTCACGTCTTCCATTGTACCAATTTTATACACATAATACAGTTTTTCTAATGCGCCAAATAAATCCAACATAAAATATAGTGATAGGTTAACACGTATAAGAGCTTTGTGATGACATTTTTATCAACACTATTGTGATATGAAATTATCAGTCGATAAGAGAGTTCGGTCAATAATTCGTTATTTGATGTTTCGTTTATTTGAGCATTTTCGGTTTGTTGATTATTGTTTATTGTATTTGCTCATTTTATCTGTTATAATGACATGAGTAAAAAAAAAATATATAAAATAAACTAAAAGAAGTAAATAGTAACATAAGTTGTTTATAACTGGAAGAGATTGTTTTTTATTGCCCAAGAACCGTATACGATTTTAAAAATTCTTTAAAAAGGCAATACAAATCTAAAGTAATATCTGCCTCCAAGAATTGACACTCCGCTTAAATTTATTAAAATTCATTGAGATTTGTAACGTGTTTCTTAAAACATTTCTAACCGCGGGCAATCTACTTCACTTTAAGTGGTTTCGGAATTCGTTACTTTTGTTTAAGGATATTTCAGGTTCATTTTCAATAACGTAGCCTTATTAATGTTTTTGCGACCTGTTTCTCTTATAAAAATATTTTAATTAATTCAAGATGTTCTTTGATATCACAGCTTCCATCTCATTACTAATCCTAATCTCTAATTACTTTAAATTTATAATCAAATGGTTTTATTGATCATTCACTATCAGCGAATAGTTGCAAAACTAAAAAAAAACTTAGATACAAAATTCTATTATCGTGCTTGAAATAACATTAATTAAAATCAATCAGTATAAACTGATTCAAATATTACTTAAAAAAGACACATAACATGTTTAAATTCCAGTAATACATTTTCTTTTACTATTGTATAACACAAGTATTAATTATACCTTTATTTTGGATTTTTCTTTAAATACTTTGAAACAATAATTTTAAATTTAATTGCTACCTCGAAGTAAAGAAGAAAGATAAGTATAACTAATTTATTTGAATAAATTTGTTGTCTTTCCAAATATTAAAATGGGTTATCTATTTGTCAATAATATAAATGGATTAATTATATCATTAAAATTATATACATTATATTTAATGTTTCCAGCTAAGGATCTTGTTATTTTATCCATTTATTTAATTTTTCGTTTAAGAGAACTTTTTGTGAAATAAGTTTTATTATTTATATATTTTAAGAATTATCTCATAGTTTTTATTGCAGATTGTTATTTCAAATAAAACAATTAACATGAATTTAGTTGATTTTTATTATTATAAAGATATAAATTAGGTAATAAATCTTAAAATTATAACTTGCAAATATCAGGATTAGATATCTTCATTATTAAATGATTTTCAGCTGTTTCAATTTATTGCATGCTAGGTCTTTTTTCCTAAATTTAATTTTACGACTTTTGTAAGAAACTCATTTTTAAAGTTAAAAAAAAATATTTATTATATGTTACGTCAACTCCAAAAAAGTTTAGAAAGCCAACGATTTTTAAAATGTCAATTTTGTTTACATTCCCCGAATCTGACCAATGATTGACAACATTCGTCATAGCATAGTAGTTTACACAGCACTCTTGTATATGTTTATTTTGTAGCTATGAAAAAAGGCAAAAAGTTAGCAGCAGTACACTTTTTTCTAACTTTCAAATACCGTTATGTTATTGATTTCAAATCTGTAGAAATAAAGTTTTACTTTTAAATGAAGACTACACAAAAAACCAATTTTTTGGGTTGGAAAATTGATCATAACCTTTTTCTTTTTAATAATAAAATTCGAAAAAACATATATCTACTGATAATGATACTAAATAGAAATATATATTAATATATAATAAACTAAAACAAATCAAAATGCGTACGTTAAAAAGCTTTGTTGCTGTTTAAAAAAATATCACAAAATTTATAACTTGTTTTAGTTTAATAATAATTTTTTCTTTAATTACTCAACCGTCACTGGTGATAAAATACATTTATACACATAATATGTATAAATCGTCAAAGCACCATAAAAATTACTTCTCCATTGCTGTTAAATGTTCAATGATAACTATCATAGTTGTTAAGTTTCGGTTACCGTAACAAAAGTCCCCAGTAAAGGATTTGGGTCACTCTTATTAGACTCCTTATCTTGAATGACTGAAGAATAATGTGAGTTCAATATTTTAACATTCAGTTTTCTATTAACTGAATACTCTAGAAAACATATTACTACTAAACATACGTACTTAGTATTCAGATACAAATTTAACGAGAGAGCATTAATTACTGTACGATATCCCTACTAATATTATAAATGCGAAAGTAACTCTGTCTGTCTGTCTGTCTGTCTGTCTGCTACGCTTTCACGCCTAAACCACTGAACTGATTTTAATGAAATTCGGTACAGAGATAGAGTTGACCTTGAGAAAGAACATAGGATAGTTTTTATCCCAGACTTTTGAAAGGTTCTCTTGGAAACGCGATATAACCGAACTCCACGCGGCGAAGCTGCGGGCGGAAAGCTAGTAATATATATGTATGTTACATCCATATGTAACCAGTATCATTACCCTTATGAGATCATATAATTAAATGTTGATATAAGAAACTAAAAAACCCATACTTCAGAAATTTATGACTGAAATGTTTTATATTATATGTATAATGCTTTGTTTTTGTTTGATAATGTATTATTGTTAGTTCACTTAACTCTACAAATGAAGTGAGAAATAATGAATATTTATGATAAAAATAATGATTTCATTTTACTCCATTTATGAAACAAAAAATAAACACTAACTTAACCTTAGATTTATTATGTAGATGATGAGCCAGAGTTATATGATCTTCCAGAAAACTCCACCAACAAAATAAGTAAATTGTCTACGTAAAGATTTCAACATCACGTAAAAACAAAATTATCTGAGACGTATTTCGTCTTGTTCGTTCCGGTGGCGTGGAAATCACAATTTCAAGGGGAGATATTCCACCGGTCTGATGAAATTTAAATGTACTTGTATGAAATGTGGCGTTTCGATTTGCAAAAGGGAGTGGAAATGTAAAATAGTCATATTTCCAGGCACTTTTGTTTCCTTGAGAGTTCCTCTTAGAATTGTTATCATAAGTATGCTCTCACGTTTGAAATATAAGATACTTACAGGATATTACAGTATCGTAGTTGTCGTATTAGAATGATTTTTAATAAACCTTTATAAAGGCTGATTTATTTATTTATTGAAATATTTAATCGATTATGTACGACAAATTTTACAGAAAAACATAGCGAGTATGTGATTGGCCAATTTTCATTAGAGCCATTGATAGTTTTTCGTAGTACCTTATCTCCCGCAATTGACACTTGGAGTGTCAGGCCTTTCAAACGATTAATGCAGAACACGAAACGGTGGTCGAAAATTTGAAATACCTATCCACGTTTTGAATGTGATTTACTACTTGATAACTTAGTTGATTTGCGTGATGAAACTGGATTATGGGAATTCAAGCAAAAAATTTGTGTTTAAATATTTTTTATAAATACGAGTTTATTTAGATGACAATATCTCATATATCTGTATATATACACGCTATTGTATATGCGTGCTTTACTAATATTTAATATCCGATACTTGAATTTTACTTTTTTACTCCATTTTATATTCTTTGTCATCAAAAGAGTTACTTCAAAACGAAAATTACATTTGAAATGGAAGTTTAATATCGAAAAATACGCTCATATTTGGGTTCCGAAATCAAAGCCGAGATGAAATCCTTAGACTGCAGTGCAGACAGCGTTATACGGTGATTAGTTATTCATAGGAGCACTTGCCTTCCACGATATCCCAGCCACAGTTATTATTGCAAACATTGCCGAAGGAAGATTACCTGGATAACGTTAAAGTTTTACCATTCCTCTTATGATTAAAGTTCTATTGAAAACCCCCGATTGAATAAAATCAAATTGCTACAATATATATTTGTTTCAAAATTTTTGGTTTTATTTTTAATAAAAACTTCGATAAAGCAAAAAATAAATACATTGACTATTATTACGATATCCCGTATACTGTTAGTAATGGAATGTAAGCTGACATAATCTTATTACTTTCGGTTCCACTTCATTTCACACGAGAACTGACATATGAGCATAGCGACCCCAATACTTTTAGAATATAGTGTGGCGGTAGTTATAAAATATGTATTAAGGTTTATTTTAAGAAACGCCTTTAAGAATTAGACTGATAAAAAAATATAACTACTTTCTCATCACTTCACATTATGAATTTTTAGTATCAAATTACTTATTTTAAGCAATAAAAAGTAAGTTTTTAAATATAATGTTTACGAAAGCAAAACACCGCTTCAAAGTGAAATTATTAAATAATTTAAATTCTTCATTACTTACTAATCATTAAATTGTAAATTATTAACCAATTTTATCTTTTTTCGCAGATATTATTCGATAGTTTCACCTTGGGTCGTTTCACATCCTTCGTGGACGACGGCTGCCCTGATGGTTACATGCAAATTCAAGAGGCAAGCCGTCCCCAAGTAGGCGGCTCGTGGTGTGGAACTTCCTGGGGCCCCTCAATTTATTACAGCGAGACGAAATCTATTATGCTTATTATACGCCTATTACATTTGTCTAAGGAACAGAATAATTATAACTTTGATTTCCGTATGGCATACAAGGTTTTGAGGAAAGAATACGCTACTGTTAGATACGGTGGAACGCCACCTTCAGGTATTTAAAAAATATATATATTACTAAGTTAATTTTCAATACATCTACAAATGTATAAATGTTTATTGATATTTTGAAAGCCCAGTAAAACCTTTTGCTATCGTTGCGGTTTTTTTACGAGTGTCGTTAACTTCACGTAGACTTCCATGTATGTGATATCAATATTTCATAAATTTATTTTTGCTTTTAGAAAGACCTTTTTTCAAACTCAGGCCAATGTTATATCCTGTAAACATATCACACGGAGAAGATACGAACGTTGGAAGGACGGCAAAAACTCCAGAGTATTACCTCGGGGATTTGATCTCGGGGACTTATTGCTCACGCATCTACAGTGACTGCGATCGTAAAAACTGTAGATTACAATCTCCAAACTTCCCTGGCGTTTATCCTAGAAATCTCACTTGTTACTATGCGGTTAGACAGCACGAAGTGCCTCAAGGAAAACATGCTTTAATAGTTGTAAAACAACCGAATGGCCAGTTAATTTCCATAAGGAGTCAAAAGGCATTGTACGCTCCATCTCAGAATGATAGAGAGGCCAACGGAAGGGAATTAAAATTTTGGCAAGAGTGCGATGAAGTACAGGATTATGTGACTGTATATGACGGGTACACGACAAGAGATCCCGTTATACTGAGGTTTTGCGGTGGTGGAGTGTCGGTTCCTGAAGCGATATCAAGTGGTCCTGAGTTGCTAGTCGAGTTTACTACCTCACCTTTTGGAACATTTCTCCAACCAGCTACATCGCAATCTTTACATGGATTTCAATTAGAAGTTGAGGTATTTATAAAGTCTAATACTTTCGCAACTATTCATTGAAATAAAACTCATATTTTTAGGATTTACTGCGCATTTATTCTCCCGTCGCGTCGTTTCGGTTTGGTTAGGCAGAAAAAGATTTATTTTTTAAGTTTACAAAGACAATCATTACAAAGAAATAAACTTGCTTAGTTTTAATAAAAGACAGTTAAAGCCGTCTTCCCTTAATATAAGATTGGTCAGTGCTCAGTATAGTAGTGGCTTTATAAATAATTTATAATCATTAGTGAGGCTCGATCGAAGGCACTACGTGCTCGGCTAAACTAAATGACACTAAGACGACAACACTTGAATTATTTCTAGTGGGTTTTACTATTTGTGTTTTAATTTAAAACAGTTCGTTAAGATTTTAAATTAAAAAAATAGGATTCGAAATCGTCTTGTTTTTTATGTCAGTAATTGTGATTTTGTTTCTATTTCCGTCTCACTTTATATGTTGCCCAACTCATGCATGTTGATTAATTTTGGATTATAAAGGATTTTCTTGTTATCGAATGTTTATATTGTTATTGTAACATGTGTATGTGTAACTATCTCAGTGTATATGTGTCCGTATATATATTTATTATAAAGTTGCTTTAAATCTAGTATATCGACCTTTTATTTAAATAGACTTTTTTAAATGTGTTTCAATTTGTCGCTTGAACAATTTCTTTTAACAAGCAATTATACAGTACAATGAAAAGCTTTTTAAATTTACAGATTACACTCCCTAAAATAAAGTTTCATAACTTTTTATTCTGAATGTTTACCGTCCTTTAAATCGATACATCTTGGTTAAGTTTTTGTAATAACACCGACCTCTACAAAGGACATAAAACAAGTTAAAAAAATGTGCCCAATTAAGCAGGCTAAAAACTTTATTATATATTTTAAATGTACTATTGTTAACAAAGAAAAAATATTCAATAACGCTATTTACTTATTATAGGTAAGATTTGTTGATCAACAATCTCCAACGTACGCAAAAAATAAAAGAGCTTGTGAATTTTGGATTCGAGGGACTGGTAGGGGAGTTTTGGAGCATCCTCAACATTCACTTCCTCCAAATACAACATGTCTTTATCACATGCAAGGAATTGATACATCGGGTCCATCAGGGAGAAATATTATTTACAGACGGCAATTCTCTGCGCCACGTTTTAGAGTTTGGTTCTCTGTATTAAAATTTTATGTGACAAACGCTATCAATCCCAATTTGCCTGAGGATGAGTATTGTGGGAGCCATTTGAATATATGGGATGGGCCAATGAGGATATCTCCCGGTTGCAGCGATATATTTTGGTAAGTGGTTATATTTTTGGATTATGCTAATGCATTGTATTCGATATCTTTGTAAGAAAAAAAAACTGTCGTTTCTTAAAATATACATAGGTACATGATTTTAATAACAATCTAAAATTCAATCAATTCAAGGATCATGATAATTCAATAATAAATAATATGTTTTTATATTATTTAGTTTGAGATGACATTTTTACTTGTAGCGATAAAGAACGATCGGTTCAAATGTCAAGAGCCACTTCTGCCCAGTCCGTGATAGTTGGACGTCCACCGACAAATGCCACCCTCATAGCAAGGTTCTGCCGCGAACGGGCTCCAAGGACTTGTGAACATGCGTTATTAAGACGATCTAGAGCATGTGCTAGAACAGAAAGTTTCTTGTCTAAAGGGGACTCTTTAACATTGGAATTGAAGTTAACACAGGGAACAGCGCTGAAGTGAGTATTATGACATGTTTCTTGTCAATACATTACCTTCATTCGTTGATGAACTCAATTGAAAAATCATTTTATACTCAAGTATTAAAGACTTATTATTAGGAAATAATAATGATTCAATGGTGATATGGTTTATCCTATTATATTCCAGGCCAGTATTCTTCAAAGCTCTATACGAGTTTGTAGATTTACATCAAGATGGTGAGCCTTGGGGACGTGGGCCTTGTTCCAGACGTTTTGCTTCAAGGTCTTTCCCTGAAGCTCCACCGGACCCGCCAGTTACATTCTCCTCGCCCAGAGACGTGTTTTTATATGGTCGTGGTGGTGCTAAAAACATAAGGTTAACAGAAATATAATAACAAAAACTCATCAGTAAGAAGACATTAGTTATACCTTCTTTTGTGCAAATTCTTCCGCAGCTCAACCAAACACTAAAAATATTCAAATTGTATAAAATATTTATATATTTTTTCACTGGATCCACTGCAACAGATTTCGTAAAAAGTGTTCGCTTTTGGATATATAACGAAACAAAAAAAAAACATCATTTTCAGTTGCACTTATCGCTTCGAAGCCAATCCGGGTGAGGTAGTGCGTCTTCGAGTGTGGGGCGTCAGGAATGGTGGGAGGTTGTGCAGGTCCGTACACTCCGCTCACTCTCCATGGTACAGGTGCGGAGGGAACCCTACAGCTGCTGTACGGATCTTTGAAAGACCATGGAAAGATAATGGAGCTGGTGTTCCAAGGGACTGCTTGTGCAGGTAGTTGAAACATTTGTTGTCATACAATATGCTAGGTTTAAAAGACTGTTTTACTTATGAAAATCCCTATCAATGTTTGGTCAGTTTTCAGCGTGGAAGACTATTATAAAGATATCAGCGTTTATTAAATAACAAGCTATCGTGATAACTTAAAACCAAAGTATATTTAAAGCTTAAATGAAACTATTATTTTATGATTACTACGCATATTTTGCACTTACTTTGCAGATACCGTGGTCACTGGCAGACAAAATGTAGATGATGATAAAATGCCTAAATAAAATATTAGTTTCATTTAAATGAATACTCGCGAAGGTCTTAGATCTCATTTATAAGAATTTGTTATTGTTTTTTTCAGCGATGTACCTGACTATGAGTTTACATCCACCTCATCAGTGGCTGAACTGAAGTTTGATGTTGTCAACATGTCCGCTGTTGATGACTTCAGGTCCTTCGGTTTTGAAGCATCTGTTGAGTTCGTAAGGTTGACTAGTGTTTGTGATTCCACTCACCGAGTATTTGGAGCTAGTGGGGAATTGAGACTTTCATACTACCCTCCAATGTCCGAAGATGTAAGTCATACGTCAATAGGATTTTGGCAATCTATTATTAAATATTGTATATTAAATATTACATAGTCTACGAAGTATACAAGATAAGTGTTATTTGTAGGATCGTTGTGATTTTCGTCCCTGGCTGATTGATCCGGCACCAGGCAGGTACCTTTATCTCCAAATCCAAGGCAGCCTGATTAAGGAACCGGAACTCGATAACTTCACATTACAAAATAACATAACAGTTGCTCCGGATTTGAGGCATTTATGTCAAACACAGAATCGTATTGCAGTCTACGCTGGAGGCCTTTCTCCGATATTCATATGTCCCAAGCCACCAGTAGAACAGGTATTAAACAATAGTTTAATATATTTTAATTATTCATATACTGAATTATGCTTAGGAATACAGTTATGTTTGTATATATTTAGTTGAAAGATATTACTCACTAGCTGCTAACCGCGACTCCGTCTGCGTAAATAAAAAAACAAAAAAGCGTAAATGAAAAAACTATTAAGTGGCGCATGCGCCCTGCCTCCCACACGCGTTTAAGTTCGCTTTGTTTCAGGATTATTTATCTGTATAAAAAGTAGCCTTATCTACTCCTAAATACATTAACTACCAGCCAATAAAAGTACCGTCAAAATAGTTCCAGCTATTTCGGAGATTAGCTGGAACAAAGAGACAGATAGACATAAATTGTAACAATAATAATATTATAATACATATTTTATTGTTTGTGCCGTATACATTCACAAGCATGTAGTAAAAACGATTTTATAATATAAAAAAAACATTCTTATTTATTTTATATGTATAGATTATTATAATTTCACTTTATTTCGTCACGTAAGATAAAATAAGAAATATTAATACGAGTTCTACTTTCTGTTATTTTCAGGAAGACGATGTCGTGGAAGTTTTCTCTGAAGGTTGGACTTCGGACGTTGATGGTTTGTCGCGACACGTGTTGGCGGCCTCGCCCTCCCTCGACCGGTTCGACTTGGAATGGCCACGATCACTATCTGTTGAACTGATAGCAGTAGAGACTGGCTCTTATTACATCACGTGGTTGGAACTATCGAGAAGGTAATTTGCTATTCGGAAAAAAACATTAGAAAAAAATATATATACAAAAGTTAATCAAAGGTTAACTCGAACAAATTTGTCTCAAAGAGTTTAAATTAATTATTATCATCTTAAACCAAAACACTTTAACCGTAAACAATTTGAATTTAATTTATAAAGACACTCACAAATCGAATCGACAAATATTTCCCGCGCAAAAGTAAACAAACATAAAGTCACCGGTTTAATGTCACTTCCGGATTATCAGGAGTGTTTCCTAAATAAATATACATATATGCTCTAATTTATGCATAACTAGAAAAAAAATTATTAATTTTTTAAATTATTTTAGTGCAGTAGTTGGCAAAAAATTCATATATTTATTTTTCATAATTCCAGACACCCCAGTCCTCGTGGTGGTGTATTCGCTCTCTCCGGCGAGTGTACTCACAGATGTTCGTCTCTGGACGCGTGCATCGAACCAGCTCTTTGGTGTGACGGAGTGCCTCAGTGTCCGCACGGGGAGGACGAGCGTCTGTCACAGTGCTCCGCCCTCATGAGGCTGCCTGCGCATTACGCTGCCGCTCTGCTCGCTCTTACTGTGCTAGCGGTATTCGCTGTGGTGAGTTGTATAACTGTATAGATCTGTATAGATTTAAAAATCTGTATAGATTTAAAAATCTGTATAGATTTAAAAATCTGTATAGATTTAAAAATCTCTATAGATTTTTTTATGATAAAGGGTCAACCGAGCCAACGGCCTACCTAATTGGGGCAGTACTGTTGCTCATAGATATACGCAACATAGGTTTGCAAATTTGTTGCCACCCTTGATTGGGGAATATGGGGAAAATATGGGAAAGGGAGGGAAAAGGGAAAGGTCAGGAAAGTGTGGGAAAAGGGAAAGGGCAACCGACTTTCTCGTTCATACTACTTCACGTCTTTTTTCTGTGAGAGGATTGTACACCCCCTGTCAAGCAAGCCCATATTCGAGCTATAGTAAGTCGACCACTGCTAGGCTCTACCACCTAGGATTTATGAAAAAGTGAACTTTTACTTTGATTTTCTTAGATTGATATAGGAAGAAGGACTGAATAGTTTTCTCAATATATTGCATCTATATATAATCTATACAAGTTACGAAGAAAATTTTCATTATCATCACAGATAGCGGTGTTGCGTTCGTGTCGCAGACGGAGATCGGCTTTCCAACAGCGTCTCAAGAGTTTATCTTCCGATACAGCTATATTTGATGAGAAAGAAGTGATTTGCTGACCAAGCGAGGACTCTGTGCGGTACGTGGAAGTAGACCGCGTCACCACAGTGTGACCGTCTCCCGCACAGAGTCTCATACTATTTTCATACATTCGCCACCTCTTGATAAATTGGTGAGAAACAATTTATTTCTATACGGTTGATATTCAATTCTCTTCTATTATTCCTCACTATAAGTTAATTATATATGGACCAAACGCAGTCGAACGGTCACCGTGTCCATGTATTGAGTGTTATTTAACGAACCGATCGTATTTTCTTTTTATCTGTATATATGAACGCACAATTTTTCGACCGATCGACTTGTGGCACAACGTTCATTTGTTCTGTTACTCGATTGTGATTTTTAATATAATGTAAATAGAGTAGTATTTATTATGAAATGTTCATTATAGTATAGAATTTAAATGATATCGTTGTGGCAATAATTCTGTTAATGTTTCTCAAGTCGTCTGTGTTCTCTCAATTCTATATGTATACGTGATAGAAAACTGCCATTTTAAAATTGAAATGTTCTTCAACGACGCCACCGAAATTAAAAAAGTTCAATCTAAATAAATATTAAGATGAATTTTATTTTACAATGATGTTTACCTATCCGTCTATTGACGAGAGTTATGTTGACGGCCAAATATCTGCCACTTTTAATATAATTTTAATAGATATTTAAATATAAATCAATTAAACATTTTAAAATATAATAATAATACGATGTAAATAAAATTTAAACTATTCATATCTTAGAAACGTATTGAAGTGATATAAAAAAGATATTTCCCAGGGAAATCGTTTGAATCTTTGTCGAGTTACTATTAGAGAATTTGTAGATAATCATGATCCTATTGAATAACCTCGTTTTATTAACAATAAGATATTGTTACTGATATATATTAAGTCAACTAATATTGTTTCTCGTTCATATCGAGTATGAGGTTATAGGGAATCGAATATAGTGTTGTTGAAGTATGAATGGAGGAACAATTTTATAGTATATAAACTGTTACATACGAGGTATAGCGTTCATTGATAATGTGTCCTTTAATAGATTAATGATAAGCATTAGAAGAGGTTTGTTTCCAATTGGATGTAGATTTGGTTTTAGAGTGCGATTGATTTTTTGTAATTTGTTAAAGTAAGTTAGTGGAACTGGTGTAGCATGTTTATATCGTCTTCCATAATGTACGATAATTTCGGAGGTTTTAAGTTTTTTTTTTCATTTTTGTTCAACCATTTGTATGAAATACGGTAAATTTCCAATAAAGGAAGTGAACTAATAATCCAAATCAGGTGTTATCCTGGAAGACAATAATGATGGGAAATAGCTGTTTAAGCAGAGATACTACTTTGAACATACATTGACGAGAATTATGGTGATATAAAGTTTTTAAAATAAAATTATTTATTGCATGAAATACGTCGTTTTATTTCAATCATATTACATATGTATGTATATATTCAAAAATATAAAAGAAGAAGTGTCTATGAATATGAATATGAATAATCCCCTTTTACCCAATGCAGACGTGAAATGGCGACATTGAAGAATAAATTAGGTCTTAGACTATCAATATTCTAGAATTTTAATTTATTTATTATTACTACAAATATAAAAAATATATATTCCAGACAAATAAATTACAAATAATGTTACGATTACTTAAAATATTACAAGATAAATTACTAAAACAATAAAATTTTATAATTGCGAGTTAACAGTTAATGCAGTGTAACTTAATTTTATTTACCCATAACACTGAAACATTTCAAACATTATTTTGTAAACAAATAACAAACTATGTAACCTCGGAAATAGAAACGTATATAGAAATCAGGATATTTGGAAAGAAGTGCTTACGTTACCAGTTAAATACAATGTAATCCTGTTTAAATCGTTGCAAAAACTGATCGTACATACGGTACTTTATCTTGACGACCTTGAACCGAGAACAGGTGTTCTAATAGAAATTATTTGTTCATACAAATGGAAAGCAATAACTTGACATTCAAATATTATGTATTGTATTTGAAGAGTTATTTGTATACACCTTGACTCAATATTTCGTATGCCTTGGTGACGTTTCCAGTGATTTCTTCAGCAGGTCTTCCAGATGTCACCAGCCATGTACTGCCGCTGGCACCGTTTTCGAACGCGTGTATGAAGCCTGACACAGCAGCGTCAACTCTATAAAATATATATAGGATATATTAAGTTTTATCTCGTTTTCTAATTAATTATAATTATTATTTTTAGGATTCATCAAAAGTAGCAGTAGTATTATTGATGTCATTATTTAGTATATGACAATACAATTTAGTGAATTAATTTTGAAAACGCTAAATTATGTTCGAACAAAACATAAAGTTATGGTTTGTTTGTTTATATTTTCATATTTTATTTGATAAAACGTGTGACTGGAGAAACCGTTGTAATTCACGAATGATATAATAATAAATTAAAAATAATTTATAACAAACGCTTTACAATTTTATAGTAAATTTATTATAAATAAAATCTTAAATATATGTGTAGAAAATACATTAGACTATTGTTTAGACTGTATTTTAATATAAAGGCAAGTGTCACTATTTACCATAACATCTAGCAAACGTTTCAAGGCAAATCTTGTGATTGGTCAAATTTAAACTTGACATGATTTTATAACTACTTTTTGTATCAGGTAAGTTATTTTCATATTCTAAAAGTTGATCATAGCTACGTCAATAAACGTTGTTGTACAGATCCGTAAACTGAAAAATAAGCTATATATACAAAAGTATATGAAGATTTTTGTGATCTTACCCTTGTAATGGCATTCTTTCCAATGCTGCTGGCACCATTTTTTCTATTTCCTCGTCGATGCATCCAACTTTAGCAATTAAACTTGTATCAGTCGCACCAAAGCAGACAGTCACCACGCGTACTCCAGTTCTATTATAAGTATCATTCTTCTGAAAAATTAATTAATAAAATTGAGATTTATTTTCAAATACTTTTACTATAATAACAAAATAAAAAAAAACATAAACGCTATTATGAAAAACGTATTATGTATGTAAATATATGTAGTTTGTTATTACGAGCAAAAAACACCTAATCTTTAATTTTTATTATGATAATAAAATCAGTAATAAATTATTTATTTTTCCGTCACTCACTCCAAGACAATTGCTGAACTGCAAGACAGCGCTCTTCGTTGCACTATAAACAGGGAGTAAAGAGCTTTGGATTAGAGCGACGACAGAGGATATATTGATAATTGTGCCTCCTTTCCCATTTCTATCTTTACGCATTATTTCGTAAGCCTTCAATGATCCTGTTATCACAGCTGTCTGAAATATGATAGAAAACTGAGTTAAGTAAAACTTATATCTTGTAAAAACTTATAATGCAGTAAAAATTGATAAGCGTTTTATAAAACGTGAATATTGTTGCCGTTCTTTTGATAATAATTTATTTTGAATGACAAACGTACAATGCGATAGTGGTGGTGGTAGTTCAGTGACTTAAGACTTAATACGTAAAATTTGTTAGCTTTAAAAATAAACACATCTTGATAAGGTGACTCTTCGTAATATGTTAATGTAAATAATGCATATATTATAATACGTTTTGTGTTTGAATAGATCTGAATGTGATAAGAGTAGCATAAAATATTTATATTCGACTTATAGTTTCGTTCATACCTATGCAAACAATTTTGTTTAATCTTAAACAAAGATACAAATAACAACGTTTTAAATACTGGAGGTCAAAAAAAGAGTTATTACACAATCAGAAGATAATTTTAACAGTTCACAAACAACTTATTTATCATTTATTATAAATATAAACTATCGATATTAATATAATGTATAAAATTAAAACAATTTTTGATAAAAATTACGGATAACATAAATGTACGGCCTGACAACAGTCTTCTGATATATTGTTTTTGAAAAATATAATGTACTTGTACAAATTAAGAAACAAATCCAAGAATAACTTACAACATTGATTGCTATTTGCTTTTCATATGTTTGGGGACTATCATTCATAATACCAGCATTATTAATAACCACGTCCAAATACCCAAAGAGCTGAACGGCTTCGTCGAAGGCTGTATGGAGTTCGTTAGTAGTTACATCGCACTTTATAAATTTAACTTTATTGGCACCATACTTTAAGTTCAATTCAGCTTCCAAAGCCTTCCCTTGTGTTACATTGATGTCTAATATGGCAACATGCTGGAAAAAAAAACAACATGAAATAGGTACATATAATTATAAATTATGACTCATAACGGGTTTCTATTTAGTAAAAAAAAATTGTTAAACTTACTCTAAGGATTTTTTTTAATTGAATATATCAATTATTATTTTCTTATATTTTTAACAATAAAGCAATTGATTAATACAAAATGTAAACAATAAAAGTTGTTGATACATAGTACTACAATATACATAACAATTGCTAGGAATTACTTATTTTAATTACCTCATACTATTTGCTTTAATTTACTCCTATGTAGATAATTGTATCTAAGTAATCCTTACGATATATTATCATAAAACATATTCATAGTGGATCTAAAACTTGAATTATATTTTTAAAACTAAAGTTATATATTAAATCATAGTCTTACCTTTGCTCCACGAGCCAAAACAGCTCGCACTATACCGGCCCCAATGCCGTTCGAACCGCCGGTGACCAAAACAACTAAATCCCTGACGTCATTCATATTCGTCTGTTTACGAGTGCAACTGAATCTCTACTGAGAACTAATCGGACGTTGATAACATGAACGAACAGACCATAGATAATATAACTAAGTTATATCTATATTACTGTTGTAAATTTATTCTATGTTATCTCAATAGTTCGAAAACTGTTTTTGGATTCTCGTTTACTAATAAATATATATTAACATTTTCACTTCTTACAATTTTGAATATGTATTGATTTGAGTCAAGAAAAAATCATTGCAGTACAAATTTATAATTTTCTAGTTACAAAATTTCTGTTTTATTTGACTACGAGTATATATACAATTTCTAGCGAAAACATAGTCGTACAAGGTTACCGACTTTACGTTTACGGACCGAGGCTTGGCAACTATATAAAAAGGGAAAAATATATAATACTTTATACTTGAACCGTGTTAATATGTTTAATTGAATAGGAATATTGTTGCTACAAAAAATAATTCTATAGTCAATACATACATACATAAATATATATACACAATTAAACTATAAGACAACTGGCTTTTAAGGATTTTTTATAGACTGGAAAATGTGAAATTAAATAAGTTTTTATTTTAACTAAAACTAAATATCCTAAGTGACTGAGTTTTCTGGAATTAATAAACAGTTTTTCTTTATTTAAAAGGTTTTTAATAGTTACGATTGCGACACAAATACACACATATTTGACAAGATTAAGATAGTTTCTTTTAATTTTTATGAATCATATTTTATGCTATGTTAGCTTTATTTAATGAGAAATAATCAATTAGATACCTAATAGAGTAATAAACATAATTTATGTCAATTGGCCAAACACTTATCAGTCTTTTCTGATAATCAAATATCTCTGAAAATATAATATCATGATTTTGCTAATTACTGAATTATATAATTACTCAGCTATAGTTAAGTAATGAACCAAATTATAATTCCTTTATTGTAGTAACTTCTCTCCACATGACACATCTATACAAATAAAAAGTTGTAGTGTCTGTTTATAATATTTAAATATGCACTTTTTACTTAATGCATATATGGATGTAAGTATGTATAATGATGATTTATAATCCATGACAGAATATTTTTTAAAATGTTGTCTGTCTGTTTGAATAATCTTGTCTCTGAAATGGCTCTACCAATTTAACGGGACTTTCACCGGTAGCTAGCTCATGTTATGAGTAACATAGGCTACTATTATTTTAGAATGAATATATTGGGTCCACGAAAAAAAAATTATACCCACGAAAAATAAATTATTATTTCATTCAGTTGAAATAGGGTTGTGTATTAAAAGCTTAGTCATATATCTATGTATACATATTATTTGGTCAAACTACTAGTGCCTCCCACCCCTTCCCCCGCCAACGACTTAATATTCCAAAGGTCACACTAGCTCTAAACGGTTGTGTCTCAACAATACATTCAAAATCTATTTCCAGCACGTTATAACATAATTATCATTAGTTTTTGTTCCGTACACATTTTTATTCTATTGTTCCGTTCTTCTTCACATTGTTTAATTTCAACATAAATGACGTTATATTCATTGTTTTATAGCTGTAATACTTTTTTAGTTCGTTTTTTGATTTACTTCCAAATTATTAAAGTACGAGAGTTAAAAAAAATGTTTTATATTTGAGACAGGTATCATCCTCAAAATTTTGTTGAAAAACGTTTTATAGAATTTATATAATATTTAGTTCCACAATTTTGAAAAAGCTAAAATAATTTAGTAATAATAATTAATATGGTTATTTCAACATTCAGTCAGTCAGCCTATTGACAGTCAGTCTATTAACTGACTGATACCAAATATTTAATATTGTTTTAGTTTTATTACGGGCTAGGAATATATTAGTATTATAAATACGGTATTTAACAGAAAATACAAATAATCACTTTATTATGATTATAGATAATATCTCAGGTTTGTATCACTTTTATTCAAACTAATCTGAATAGCTGAATACATATCTCTGGAGCTTTGCCGCTGGCACGAGCTTACTAGACTGTGGCGAGGACCTAAGACTGGAGTTCCCAGAGGGATTCAATCGCCAGCAGCATTGAAGCGGCGAATGAAAACGTACAGTAGCCTTTGATCACCCTTACCGCGATTTTACTCTTGGATCGATTTAGTATTAACTAGCAAGTAACTAGTATTAACTGTTATTTAAGTAATACATTAGTAAACATCCTCCTTAATTGAATAAGAGGGATACGTTGATGCCACTTCTCAATAAAGGTTTATACAAAAAGTATATTTGTTGAAATAGTCTTCAGGAAATCATAATTTAGATAGAACTGTATTATCATATAACTTACAAATAAATTAATATAATTTATCTTTATCTAAATTGGCTACTAAAAACTATGAATTATATTAATAACTTTTGAGCGTGAAACTATTAGGTATTATGACAGTGACTAATGAAGTGATTATTATTATTAATCCGTTTAGAAGGATTCCTTTAAGAGGAAATTCGTCATATACGTCATTTATTATAGCTATGTTATTTTAATTCTTAAACTTTAACAAAACTTAAAATTATAGCATCTTTATTATGTAATAAAAGTATTTTTATTATCTTTAGTTAATTGCTAATAGATACGTATCCATTAGCAATTGCTAACTATTACTATTACTATAATTATAGTACATATCTTTATTATAAGTAAGTAATTTAAATAACGTTGGATAAATTGCGTATAAATAAATAATGGACTTCGTTTTCTCAGATCTATTCAAAGTATGGTACTTTTTGCTATATAAGATATCACATATCAACCTGTTGTATGTTTTGTTATTTTATTCAAAGTTATTAATGACTTTATACACGTTTGCAACCCGTTAAGTATAAAACAAATTCTGCCATAAATTTCCAAAACGCCTAAAATATATTATATAAAAAATATGTCTTCAATATATTTGTTTTTATATTTTTATAGGTGAAGTAATATATATGCGCTACAAGCTATTGAGTTCCAGCTTCAGAAAATATAACATGAAACAGTAATCAAAGTTATAAAATCAAAGAAAATCATAAATGTCTTTTATTTTTTTTAAGATACTTTAAACTCAACTAGGAGCAACAACTGACAGTCACAGAAAATTAATTCCTCACTATCTAACAAAGAATAACCCAAAATAAGACAAAAGAAGTATATTATGAAATAACCTCCATAACATAACTAATTATTACTACTAAGACAGCCTTTCGTCAGATTGACTACTGACTGAACACTATTTGGTTCTAATAAATAAATTGCTTTTTATTTCCAACAGGGAGTGTCCTAACATTATATTCTATTGGATTAAGGATCTTTCCTACATTGTCACTAATTTTAGTATCTCATATTTTAAAGGGCTAATTATTAATTGCAAATACTGATCTGATTTTTCTAAAAACTTAAAATTTATTAAAGTTTCCCATACAAACAGTTTTTTGAAGCAAAATTTGTGGATGGAACAGCTCACTCATCTTTCTTAACTTTAAGAATTAGAGAGAAATATAAATTAAAATATGACCGCAAACTTAAATCCTAAATAAATACAAAATCAGACATAATTTTTTAATGTATAAATGAAAATGTTAACACTTATCCAATTATTATTTTATTATTACAAGATTCATTTATGATAAGCAATTTTTTACGTTTCCGACTAATTAGCGTTTTAGCATAAAAGATTAAGAAACTTTTGTTATTAATATTTTAAATAAAATTTCAAGGTTTTTGGTTTGTGTTTGGTGAATTAACAAGTGCTAGTTAGTTGATTGTAATATCAATTTTGATTTAAGCATAAATAACAATTTTTAACAAGACAAAAAATATCCGACTAAATACTAATATAATAATTGCAAAAGATTTTAAAGATGTTTAAAGTTATGGATGTACAAAACGTGGACATTTGTTGGGCTTTCATAGAAAAAACTATTTTTGATAAACTTTACACTAATATAGCTTAGATATCAAAATAAGATAAAAACTATTTATCCCCAAATTAAGTGTAGTTGGTGTGGGATCAAATCAAAACAGTAGAATGAATTACCTCGTTGAAGACTAAAGTCGTTGACAGTTGGTTACCATATATTTGTTTTAACAATTTTTTAATACATTTTAAACATTCATATCTTTAGATTTAAAACAGCTCCAATATTAATTCTTTAATAAACTTGCCAATAATACCTCAAGACAAGTTAACTATAATATTTATGAAAACATCATACTGATAAAGAGAAAATACAATTCCTTTTTATGTTTTAAATCCTACAATTTCTTTAATATTTGCATAAGCTTCTTTTAATGTATCCGTGACATCAGTAGCTTCGCCATTCTGAACTAGCCACATGTCAGCACTCTTTCCCTTTTGACAAATATCTACAATTAACTTTGCAGCAACAGAAGGACTGAAAAGTTCAAAAATAATCAAGTTAGTAAAATATCATTTGAGCCTAATTCTCTTCAAAATTTTGGAGTGAAACAGATGCTTAACGCCATCTATTGTATTTAGGGAAATACTTATGGGTACATTCATTATTATGAAGTGATGATTTATATAAAACTAGAATTTAAAGGGTTAATATTAAATCGGAAAACGTTAAGTTAATTAATTATAATTTATACATTCTCTACAAACATTATAAATTAAAAAAAACTAATATATGGATTTTGCTGAAATTCAATACTTCTACATAAGAATATTTTAGGAAACTGCTAATCTAAACGATATAAAATATTATAATGGGATAATAATTGATAGCTCATATTTGTAATGGCAATATTTAAAAAAAAATGATTCAACAGAAATTGAATAGACAATTTAAAAAGATAACTCGTCGCATTATATACAAACTAAAAAAAATTAAAATATACATACCATTGAAGTAAATTTTGCGTTTGTAAAAATTCAAGGAGTTGCTCTATTTGTCCACTGGTAATATCATCAAAACCTGCGCATTTTTGCATAATTTTTGTATCTGTAGCGCCTAAACATACAGTGAGAACACGAACATTAGTGTGTGAGTATTGAGGATCCATCTGTAAGATATAGTATAGGGATTTTTCAATTTAAAAAGTAAATATCACTTAAGTTTAAAATAGTATGGCAAATCTTACACCCAAACGAGTACTGAAATGTATGACAGCAGCTTTAGTCGATGAGTATATATGTACTGCTGAGATACTTGGGTCCAGGGCTGTTATTGAGGAAATATTGATGATAGTACCACCCTTTCCACCTTTATCTACCCGCATATGATCTAACGCCATTATGGATGTAGTAACGAGTGCGGTCTGAAATAAACCATAGATTTAAAGATTTCGTGTGTACAACATGCGATTGTGTTATTCATCAATGGTATAACTTTAAGACTTACAAAATTAATTTCTATTGTTCGTTTGTACATTTCTCGAGAATCATCGGCAACACCAGCATTATTAACTAATATGTCCATGCTTTGATTCTTTTCAATAACGTTACAAAAAACTTCTTGTAGTTGAACTTCATTTGTGATGTCACATTTATAGAACGTAGCTTTGCCTTTTCCGTATTTCACGTCAATTAAATCTTGTAGTTTAATACCAGAATCAACATCGATGTCAATAATAGCTACATGCTGTAACATAAAATATTTATTATGATACATAATATATGTAATACCATATTCAGACCTATACTATGAAAATAGTCGAATATGACACTTATAGACGCCAAGACTCCGGTATATAACACTGTAGGACTTATACTTGGTTCGAAAATATTTTTATTCGTCATTTTAAATTTCTTTTTCTCAATTTTTTCAGCATTTCTATAAAAACTTAGTTTAACGATAAGTACTGTTAGAATTAATAATGATCATATTATTTATATTTATTAACTATATAATTAATGTAGAACCTATATCTATTATTTATAAAATTCCTTATAGTATGTTCTTTTTCACGGGCTAATTAATATATAGTAAAATATTTTGTGTGATCAAAATGGAATTGGCTATAGAGAGAACCGAATCCTCTGATCCAAATATTATAAATACTCTTGATATAATTTAAATGTTTATAACAGGATATTAATATATTGGATCCCACCCTATTTAAGATATAAAAAGATTTTTCAGGCCACATAGTGTTTCTTCATAAAAGGAATAATATTAAAATCCAAAAGATCTCGGGGTGTAGTATATATTTATAACCACATCGCCATGAACCATTACAAACGTTTACATAACTCACCTTTATGTTTTCCTTTAAGAATTCCAGAACAATATTAGCGCCTATACCACTTGCTCCCCCAGTTACAATAGCTACTTTATTTTGTAAGCTAAACATTCTTAATACAAAAAGTTTTTCACAAAAATTATTGATGACCAGAAAAAGATTTTAAAATAAAATCATACCAAATTATTGTTGACTTAATTGGTATACAAATTCGTAACACGTCAGTTATTTGTGAAAAAAGGTTAAAGTATAACTACTGAATCAAAACACTGCTTTAGGTATATGAATTTTATTGGGATACATTTTATCTCTATGTAAAGCCACTATCTAATGTTATTGACCTCGTTATATCTGTTATATATTTGAAATACATTTTTTGGTACTAAGTGACAAAAATAAAATTTAAAAATATATAATTTTTTTTCTTTAAATTTATAACAATTCTAAGTTAATGTTAAGGTGTATTTTTTATTAAATATATTTTTTTAAATTACTGAAATTCAAAAAAAAATATTTTATAAAAAACATTACTCAGGCGTTGTCGTAGATTTTTGTTACAAAAAATATTATGTTCTATAGTGAAAAACGGAACAAAAATCACGTTGAATTATTAATGGATTCACCAGCAACTGCAACGTAACTCCATTAAATGTTGAGAAGTTTCATCTCTACGTACAGAAAGATAGACTTACGACTAATATTGTCGGCGACAGTAACGCACTTAATTCTTTTTTTTTTGTCGAGAAAAAGTATCCTATATCCGTCTACTGGTTATCCTATATCCTGTATCCGTCTATTATTATTATTATTTATTTTATGTATAGATTTTTGTTCTAATTACATATTAAGATTTAAAGTTATTCTGGTGATGTATTTAAAACATTTTTGGTAATCCCTTCTCAAGAAGTATAAAATTATGTTTAAAAATATATTATAAAGTGAGAGGTCTTCATTTTTTAACCGTTCTCAAATAAATAAAATCTTTTATCAGTGTGTTGAAGTTAATGCACTTTTAATCAATTTAACCCTTTTTTGACCTTATCTTGTTGTAAAATAATTTATTTTTTTATGTACAGATATTTTATTTTATAATATATGATTAATATGAGCTCAAATTATCTTTAATCTTTTCTAATATTCTTTTCATTGACTTCATAAATGTAAAAAACAATAAAAATGTTATCAGAATTGATTGTCATACTTTCTTAATATCGTTTACACAGAATCTCACAGAGCCTCCTACAAACCTTAAACATTTACAATGATTAAGTAATCTCAATATTAACTAGTAGTAATTAGAAGTTTAAATAAGTCTTTTTGTTCTTTCGTTTAAAAGAGAAAAAACACACAAATAATATTTTTTAAATATTTATTATGAATTATGCTGTGTGGATCACTCAAACTTACACACTATAGTATATACATTTATACACACGGTTACTGTGCTATGCTTATGTGTTATTGCAACACAAACAAAAGGTTTTAACAAACTGAACCTTTTTTTTTGTTAACGCGTTGAAAGGTGTTATACACCTACCTCTCTGTCTAGGGGAGACGGAGGCGGTAATATGGGACGCACGGGCCAGATGGGGTCGTCACGTCTCGACGCCGCTTAACTAACTGAACCTAATTCTTTTGTTATTAATTATTATTATAGAAAAGTCAAACTAATCTCCTATTTATTTACATTTTATTAAATAATGCTCGAATAGTTTCCTATGCTATTGTTACGAATGCAATTATTATGATGTTACATATGTTTAATGAAATAAAAGTCGAATAATGCACATTTATTAATCTGGCTCTTTAAGGAATAGGCCAATATAACATCATCAAATATTTATATAATAGATCAGGGTTCACAGTAACTGTATATTTTTTAGAACTGTCAAAGTATAAATTTTTATAAAACTTTTTTTTTTATTAATAAAATACCTTTCTCACCTAGATCATTTGATCTTCTATATTTGGGAGTGGATCTTCTTATATCTTTTCTTAAATCTTATTAATTCCTCAAAAAGCTTTACATAATAAGTTGCAGTCGTCTTTTTTCTTTAAGAGTACTACTGACTTTGCAAAAAGTGGGTCGCATTGAAGCAAACAGTGCGATGGGCTCTGATCACTGGTCCCCTACATATTGTTCAAGAGGGTCTTATATAGTTAGTGGTGAGGTCTCCTAACCTTATAGGCGCACATACGATCGCCATAAGCAGTAATGGTGCCTTCGATACACCCATATTGCCTCCCCAAGGCAGCCACAATAATTTTAAGCTTCAAAGACAGTAGTTCGAAATGACTCGAGAAGCCCCCATAAGTTACCGGAGGTAGGGAGTCACTCCGTGGTACCCGACAGCCTCGACCAAAGTTTCGAATGACAAACTGTTGAAGGTGTTAGCAACTTCCATGATCACTGCCAATCCATACGCCGATTAAGAAATCGCCTCTTGGACTGTGTTTCAGAGTTCAAAAGGAGTCCAACGTCGAAAAAAAACACTAACTCAAAACCAATTCTACTGGACATATGAAATAAAATGGCAGATTAAACAATAATAAATAATTAACACGTTGCAAAATATACTTATAAAATAATGGTAAAATTGTATCTGATGCATAAATATTATTCGATAATAATACAAGATGTGTTTCAATTAACGCCGATAATTTAAAGTCCTTCAATTAATTTGATAAAATATAATTTAACACCACGTGTATACTAAATGTATGTAATTGTGTGATTTAATCTTAATCGATATAAAAAAAAAATATATATAATTTTATTGGGTCATCTTTTCATATTTTACCCAACATTTGTTTTGTTAACAAATGAAAAGGAAAATTTATATACATCGTTGAAAATTATATGCAATATATGGTATTTTTTTAGTAAAAAGAATGTTTGCAATTAAAGTTATTATAAAGTTTTATATGACAAAAGAAATATAATATTTAACATAAGCAGATTTTGTTCTTAATCCGTTACAACATAATGTTTTTTTCAACTAATGAAAATGTTGGTATTGTCGAAATTATTCACAATTCTAGTGTTAATGAATCCATAACATAAATTAATATAAGTTGTATGTAGGTCACTTTATCGCTTTGCGACAAGTATTTTATCAATGTATTTTAAAAAATATTTTTTATTTCATATATTTTAACTATATGTATATCCAAAGTACTAAAGTTAATTATAACATCTAAAATAAAGACTATTGTTGCAACCATCTAATATTCATACATCCAGCCTCCGTTACAATGACAAGTGAATATGGCTGGTAATTTTGACGTAAATCCGCGATTACCAATCGCGGATTCAATAATAAGTGATTACTTTTCTAAACGTGCCACACATGCTTCACCTTGAATGTAGAGAAACTTTCCCTGTTTCATTGCAAGTAGTAATCATATTGTAACATTTTTGACGGACATTGTGCTCTGGTGTTGTATTCGACTTTGCCACTAATATATAAAAATAACTTTTAAATAATTAAATTACATAGTAAACATATAAAAATATGTGAACAAATTTCTTTATCAAAAAAGATTACGCATGTTTTTCTTTATTAATTATTAAATCAAATACGTATTCCCTATTGATAACTTAGTATTGTTATTCTTGATTTTTATTAGAGTAAGAAAAATTACGAAAAAGTATAAAATTAATTAAGATAGTTACTAAAATAATCTATGAAAATAATTTGATAAAGAATCATGCCATTGTAATTATGAAAAATATATCAATTTAAATGGACTCTTATCACACGTATTTTTTACGCAAGAACAATGTTCAGAGTCTTCGTATTTTTTAATATCAGATGAAAGTTCATGACTGTTTCTTTTTTTGGATTACTGACCAATCGGGAATCGGGAATATAAAAATTACTTTAAATAGGAACCGTCCGTCGATACTTATATTCTTGGCAGTAATACAGCCAGTAAATATCCATTTATGTATCTCTTTACTTGCTTACTTGTTATCACGATAACACACGGATGACGTAATGAAGTCCAAAAATTTTGCATTGCAAAAAAACTTGTTGTTTATAGTCTAACTACTAATAAAAAATCTCTTGCTAACGTTATTACGTTAGCAAGAGATTTATTATTAGTAGATGTTATTACATATAATAATACCTACAGCTTCTTTGAATATAATCACTTTTAAACAAGTTTCTATTGAATCAAGTCTTTTGCGTTCATTATCTCCTGTGATAATCTTCAAAGCATATCTTTGTTATACCTCTGATATATATATAATTATAGAAATAATTGAAGACTTCAGTGTTAATTTGGGAGTTACATAAATAGCCATGTTCAATTTATCAGATAAAGTTGCAATTGTGACGGGAGGAGCAAATGGTATTGGAGCTGAGATTGTAAAGGAATTCCTCAATGAAGGTGTCAAGGTTCGTCTTTTAAGTTTCAAATTATACACAAGTTCATATTTTATTGAAACAATCTCAGATCTCATCTTTATATATTGTTTTCGAGTATTCTCTTAATTTATTTCTGTAACATAACTATTTTTGTTTAGTTAAAATTTTGTTCTATAACACTATTAATAAACTTTAATGAACGATCCTTGAAGTTTTTCAGTAAATCCGATTAAATTACTTTTTTATGATAAATATCATATTTCATATGTATGCATGTATTACTTTCACAAAATCGGATTGTTATTTTAATTTTTCGGTTTACATTTTTTTGAATATCTTGTTCTACATGATCATTTGCAGTATGTGGCTATTTTGGACATAAACGATGAAGCAGGAAAAGGACTGGAAAAAGAACTGGCTATAAAATATGGTGAAGGAAAAGTTAAATTTTTTAATTGTGATGTAACTAAAGATGAACAACTGTTTGGAATTTTTGATGAAGTCATGAAAGAATTTGGAGGTATAGACGTGGTTGTTAATAATGCTGGAATTGCTCGTGATACTTTAGAACTTTACAAGAAGGAAATTGAAATCAACTTTGTAAGTTATTCTTGATGGACTTTATATAATGTTATTCTTCGAAGTTTAATTTGTATTTATAATATATGTATTTTAATTTTAGACGGCTACAGTCTCATCCACTTTGAAGGCTGTTGAGTTGATGCGAGTAGATAAGGGAGGAAAAGGTGGTACAGTTATCAACATATCATCAGTTGCTGGCATAATGCAACTTTCGCCATCTGTATTTGTGTATGGAGCAACTAAGAGTGCCGTTTTACATTTTAGCACTTGTGTTGGAGTAAGTCGTTTTATAGTACAACTTGCAAGTGATTTGTCGCTTATTATAAATTTCCATTTATTGCTACCTTTTTTGTTTGCAAATATATCTGAAATGTTCTATTCGTATTCAGAAAGAGGCTTATTATCGCCACACTAATGTGCGAGTAATAACGATGTGTTTTGGTTTAACTGACACTGAAATCGTGACAAATATGAACAGTTTTGATGACATCGTGAACGAAGGAATTAAACAATTAGTTGGTCTCCATCATCAGCAAAAAATTTTACAAAGGTAAATTATACATAAAAATCATAAAAGGTAAATTATACATATCATACAGGTAATATTTCAAACAGATATTTTTTATAAATAAAAAAACGAATACTAATGACTACATTGGCCAAAGGTTACTTTTTTTTACGATGCGAATGACTATCACGTTTTTATCATTTTTATATGTATTTTGAAGCAATCAATTTATGCATTAATCCTTTATACATTATATTTATTTTCAGCTCTAATATAGCTGCCAGGGGTGTGGTGCAAGCATATAATACAGGCAGCAGTGGAAGCACTTGGCTGGTCGATAACAGTAAAATAATAGATATTACAGAGAATGTAGATGATAGTTATAAAGTTATGTCAAAGAAAACTGTTTTATCTGAAATATTGTCATAAGACTTTCGTTTCAATCGTTATATAACTTGTTGCAATTGTTATCTATATAGATTACCTCATTCAGAGCTATTAAACGATTATACAACACCAAATAGTGCATTATGTACATTCACAATGTTGATACATTGATAAATCATTATTAAAGTGTTCTATTATTTTACAAATTGGTTTCCTTTCCTAATATGATTTTATTTAGTCCCATAAACCATCGGCTGAAATAGATTTAGAAATTTTTATGTTACGAGTATTATTTTGAGTTCCAGTATCTTTATTATGATGTTACTTATAATAATTAGATAAATTAGATATTAATCTAATTTATCTGAATGAAAGGATGATAAATAATTATGAATGATGATGATTTGTTATCAATAAAGCCGGAAATAATAACTAAAATTAGGGTTTTACTTTTTTCGTTTTAGTGAAACTTAGATATAGCGTATGAAAACATTTCTCATTTATTATCCTGTCTTATTACTTTTTGAGTTCTCAATTTTATATTAATAATCGGTTTGAATGACTTTCGTTTTTTAATTCTAAATATGACTTATGGACTCCAAAATGTTTTGTTTTAGTAGGCAATCCTTAGGCATTTGACGTTTAGAAAAAGTTATGCAACTTCCATAATGAAACATAGCAGTTTATAGGACGTTCGAACAATATGTAAAATGATTGATTAAAAGTTCAGGTTTCAAAAAACGTAGTTTTATGTGGTTTTGGTTTTCAAGTAAAAACGAGTTAAAATTACTTTCATACATTAATTATAACCCTATTTTTGTATTATAATTTAAAAGACTATTGAAGTCGTTTGAAAGAGAAAGGCCGTTTGAAAAAAAAGTGAAAATAGTTATATTAATATAAGATAATAAAGTCATAATATTAAACGAATATGTCCAATATAAAATTGGTAATAAGTGCAATCCTTTAGGTACTCCTAAAGTATTATAAGAGTAATCAAAAAAAGAAGTACTAAAATTTGCAGCTTGTTGTCTATAAGAAATTTAAGACTTTAATATACAATAGAGATTTTTTGAATCCACATAGACTGTATCTATATACAACAGAATAAAATCGTTAACAGCAACTATTAATTTTTCAAAATCGGTATAATACAACATGACCATAAGCTGCTGGCACAAAATTGGACGAATTGATTAGTGTTGACCTTTACCCCGAAAACCAGTTGATTATTAAGAATGAATAACCTTACCCTCAAAATATTTAGACGATATTTGGAGATTTTAGCTATATGACTTCGCTTTGCGTGTCGTTTAGCTTATATTTTTAATTTTAATACTCTATTAATACAGTTTTCATAGCCTTTCTCGTATGCGCACTCACAGACAGATCTTGTTTTGGAACAAAACGGAGGAGATTCAATTGTAACAATTAAAAAGCCCAATCACAAATATTTGACTTATACGTAGCGTCTCGACGGTTTTACAAATTTCATTTCCTTCATACTTATTCATTCATAGTTCTATTGTAACACTTTATTTCAATAAAACTTTAAAACATATTGGCGAGAAAATACGAAAATAGAATGCATAAATCAGTAAAAACTACAGAGTTATAAACTTAGACGTAAAATAATATCATTTTTTATTATTCATTGCAACAGCATTTATGGCCAGACAAAGAATTCCATGTTTACGTACAAATGTAGTATGAACTCTTAATTGTCCTACAGTGAGAACAATTTCTTAATAAATTTAATTTTACTTGGATAATTGTCAGTCTTGTTATAAAACTCTTGTTATAAGTAAAAAACAAACATCGTAAAATCAACGTATCGAGTTTGTAAAACATCAATTTTATACTGCAAAAATATATAGCAATAATTATAGTATTTGAATTGACATTATGCAAAAAAACACAAAGAATTTTTTTTATACATTATAATGCTTAGTGTCCTTGTGTATATTTAATTAGTAAGTAATTAATAAGTTGATAACTATAATAAGGAATAGTATTATCAACTTATTAATTCTTCAACGACTATAATAGGCAAATAGTCGGCAATTCCGATAATAAAATATATGTAAAGTGAAACTCAAAATAAGTAGTGAGCAAATGATAAAAATAAATGCAATTATATGTCTATCTACCAAAAAAAACTTATGTTTTATTCAATACCGTATTACAAGGTTATTTAAGAATTGAAATAATCAAAGTGTTAGCAATTTATCAAACTAATACTATAACTTTTAAATACATATTGTTTTTATTATTTCTCTGTATTTAAATACATTATTTTGTAAAGTACATAAATAAAAACATAAGAAATATATTTATTAACAAATAGTAATAAATCTATAGTCTTTCATTAACGTATTAAAATATTTATAATAAACATTTAATAATCATTATAAAATTATATTTTCAAAACACTTTGTCCTATATTTTAAGAAAATGTCAATAAAATTATCTTTAATCAATAAAAAATTTAACACACTGAATACCAAAACATTGCTCTTTTTTAATTTTATATTGAATAAAATGATTATGAAACCTTTTCAAAAGAGTCAGCATATAGACTGGTATAAGCTTCTGATAGGATTCCATATGCTTTCTTTACGGTAGGTGTTATATCAAGAGCCGGTTTATTATTAGCTGACATCCAAGTACTGCCACTTTCTCCATTCTTTAGGACCTCGATCAAAGCGGAAGCTGCAGATTCCACCCTGAAATTTTAAAAAATTAACTCATTATTATAACATTATAACAAATAACATTAAAATGGTGAAACTAGAAACACTTCATTACTTCTGTGGTGGGAATACTTTCACAATAACCTCGTTGAAATGATTTAAAAATGTCTTGTCTATAGTGTCAAAGTCACTGAAAATATGAGATTCAGTCCCTCCATAACATAATGTTAAAACACGTACTCCAGTTCTTGAATAATACCTGGGCATCTGAAAATTACGAGAAATATAATTAAGTATACGTGTTACATTATTAAAAGGAGATTATTCGTCAAAAAAAAAAATTGTACATATATGGATCAAGGTTACGGTTCCTTAGGAAACTAACATCCCCAAGGACCATACCGAGGTCAATAAATATTACGAGCTCACAAATGAACTCACTCAAATAGGTCGAGGATTTGTAAGCGGTAGAAGTGGGAGTAAGAGGTATAACAGCTAAATCTCTCTACAACGTACTAAAGGACTCGGGCCTATCCAGAACTCACATTAATTAATTCTTGGAACGTACTTCGAAGGCAGACCTAGAAGGTTTTTTTCAAATTTGACAAGGTAGAGAGAGGAGCTTGGACAGTGGAGGTGAGCGTTTAAGATGCCTTAGATATAGACCCCTTAAAACTACACCTAGGTCGCAGGTCCCAGGCACTGTTGAAGCTCCTCTCCTTGCAACACAATGGATCCAACCGACAACCCGGCACCCGGACGGTGAATCCATTTACTGCTAAAAGGTTTCGTATCTGTCTCTTAGATCGTTATAAGACCTGGAATGTATTTAACATGAACCAAATTTACCCCAATACAATTGCTAAATTGCAAAATTCCGCTTTTAGTTCCGGCATAGATGGGTAATAGTTCATCTTGACACAACGCCGCAGCAGAAGAGATATTTAAGACTATACCTCCATTGCCTCCTTCATCTTTACGCATTATCTCCATCGCTTTTAGTGTGCTAGTCGTTACAGCTAACTGAAATCATAGTTTTTTCAAATACACCTATATATTGGCAAAAACTAATTTAATAAATATATACAACATAAAGAGTGTCATTAAGGAAACATACGAAGTTAATTTCAATTTCTTTCTTATATTTTTCTTTACTATCGTTCGCGATTCCTGCATTATTTATTACAATATCGATGTATCCTTGTTCGTCCAAAATCATTTGATACGCACTCATCAACTGTTCCTCATTTGAAACATCACATTTATAGAATTTGACTTTATTTGTATACTTTTTATTCAACTCATTTTGCTGAGCAATGCCAGCTTTCTCTGCTACATCTAAATTAGCGATATGCTGGAAAAAATGTGATATACTGTTTATTAAAAAAAAATTGTTTCTTATAATAAAAATTTTAACATCTATAATAATAATAATAAAATAAAAACCTTCTATTTCATGCAAAAATTTAGATACATACAGTTTAAATAATATAAATTATGTTATTTACACTTAAATCACTTTTTCTTTCTTTTTTAACATCTGCTATGTAGCAGTAATCAATGTTTAACAAAAAAAAATTGATAATATTTTTACTTTATGTAAAGGATTCTGACGGTAGCCAAAAAATAATATTGAAGTGTATCATTTAATATAATGTTTACATAAAATTATTATTTTATGAGACATTTATAAGAAAATTACATACCTTTACATTCTCTTTGAGTAAAAACTCGATAACTTTGGCACCAATGCCTTGAGATCCTCCAGTGATCAAAACTACTTTATTTTTTAGATCAAACATAATTTTAAATTAAATAAAATATATAGTTTCAGGCAAAACTTATTTTGGTCTTATCGGTCTTAATTACAGACCGATATTGTTGTTCACCTCCCATGTTTCTATTACTTATACCATTTATACTAACGAGAGATAACATTTATCACAGGGACAGATATATGTACACTATTATTAGTCGGCATTGAAATGAATACATTGTAGCGGAATAATGAAAATATTCTTTTATTATTTATGTCGATATTTGGGGATTTCAAACATCGATTTTTTTTTTATTTCATAGTTATTAAATACAGAAACCAATAAAATAATGCAATAAATTTGAGATTATTCTAATCAGGATTTATGTGACGTAAGATTAACTTGAGTTAGAGAGTCCAAACGCTGTATTTGGTATCATGAATTGCTAGAGCTGTCATTAAGTGTTTCAATAATTAGAATACAAGATACTTTTGTGGGTTGGATTTCAGCTTACTGAATTTTTACAAAACAAACGTAAATAAAGAGACTTAATAATAAAAAAAAATAATCTTTTGTTAATATACTAAATGTCTTACGAGTTAAAAAAATAACGTTTAAACGTATTGAATCATCACTTGTAAAGGTTTCAACTTTCAACTTGCTAAATAAAATGTGAAACTTCTCCAGTTTTTTACAGATAGGAAGGCTATTTATACAATCAATCAATTACTATACGCGATTGGGTAATAAATACTTGAATATGAATTAATATCAAGAACATAAGAGGCTTTCACAAAACGTTAAAACAACTGGTTAAATATTAAGTAATATAAAGTAAAGATCGGATATCAACTATTTGACCAATTTTAAACGTACAAGATACAAGTTTACCAGTTATTTCTTAGTTATTTAAACTCATTTCAGTATCGTTCCCATCGAAATATAAGTAAAGCAGAGATGAACGACCAATATAACCCTCAAATTCGAGCTCGGCATCGGCCGTTCATAATATGTAATATTCTACAATTATGGTGTTATTTTTATATAATTCCAAGAATGTTTTGAGAAGCTCATGTACTATTTAATCAAGTAAGATGTCCAAACTGTATTCAAATAAAAGAGTTTAGTACGTTTTGGTTCCTTTGGTTTTCAGCAACTTTTCCTAGTGACAGGACCCCGTGATACCGTAAGCGGCTTCTGCCGGCATCCAGAGCGGTACCCCAGAAAATTAAAAAATCGTTGGCTGTAGATGATAAATAACAAGACCAACTGATGGACATTCACATCTCGTCTGCCCGTGATCACGGTTGCTTGCATAGCTAACTTAACTAAAATATGTTTAAACCTTCAAATGAGGGTAGCTTGACAGAACTTAGTAAAGAAAATTAAGTTAAGAGGTATATTAAAAAAGCTTTGGATACTTTATTAATAACTACTAATATTTTTCCTCAAGTTATTAAGTTATTCTAGGGTCTAGGCTACGCTCTGATTTACTTTGTAGTCTCACCCTATATTGATTACGAGAGTGGAATGATAACATTTACCTAAGACCTACTGAATTATTATGTTGCTTATCTATATTGCAATTAAACCATTTAAAATAAACACACATTCCTTATTTTATTTTTTGTTACATTCCATTTTCTTAGTCTATACTTTGCATTTAACATTCATATAGCAAAATCCACTATCATATGGAATTGGAATTTTTAGTTCAAAACCTGTTTTCTTATCAAAACCTTTAATATCATCATTATATTGTATTTTCTCAGGATATATCACATTTATACATAGATTTTGATTTAGCAATTACCTTTACCTGCTAAATTGTAAAAATAAGCGGCAGGCTGATTGTTTGTAATTTACTAGGCCTGTTATTTCTATGAACATATTTTTATATTCCTTGACTAGTTCTTAGTTACTTAAAATAGCCTTTAATATTTTAAAAATAAATTAAAAATTATAAGTACATACATTGAAACGGAGTTTCTTATGTGTTATTATTTTACATATTTTTTAGACTAGACTAGACTTAGACTTCATTCATTGACATAAATTACTGAAACCTATAATTAATTATTATTTCCAATTTATACTGGTTTTAAAATATTGAGACGTGGTGTAAACGGAACATAGTATAAGACTCAAGGGTCTTCCAAACTCGATCACCCGTTCTAACAGTGTTCAATTTTACATTTAATCTGGCTCCATGTGCACTGGCATTAATGCATGGCATTAAATATGGTGTGTTCTTAATTATTGTTACCTGTACCATGTATACCTATGATGTGTTTCTTAGAAAATATTAAAATTAAGACTAAAGAAGTGATCGTATACACTATGCCTGTTAAAGAGATCTGTGCCGTCCATTATTTCTATTTTTATTTAGACAAAACCGCTTTTGAACCTTTTATATCTATTACCTTAGAACATATATGCTATAAAATATCACAAAATCGGGATAAGTGTTAAAAATATAATTCTAAAATATATTCGAGCAACTAATGATAAAGATAGAATTCAATTCCAAAGCCCCAATATTAAAATGTACGTTGACTCCCAATAATTATTAAATTACATTTGTTTATACTAATGTTAAAGGGTTTGTTAATTTTTGTGAAAAAGATAAAATATATAAATTTCAATTCATATCATTTTTGTGGAATTCAATAGACTAACGTGACGTGTGTTGGCTAGGTTTAAAGAATAGTTATCTAAGGTTATCTAGAAATACGAACAATTTGTTAGTGAGTGATACCAATAGCTATTATTTAAATAATCATTTTTCCTTAGGCACCATTTTTTTTATAATATGGCTTAAGCACCGTAAATATGATATTATAGAAAAAAAATTACGATACATTTACGATTTTAAAAAACACATCTTTTTAAAATGTATCTAATAATTATTTAAAAAAAACTTTTGTCGTATGTAATGTTTAAATATAATGACATATATAATATAACAACATAACAAATGAGAAGTAGCGGTTTGTACACAAAATATGTTATCTTTCATTGATTTATATTTTCAGATTAATTAAAGGGTCGATCACCTTTTTATATAACCATTGAGATTTTAACATGTCTATATAATTATTATTACTAATCCAACGAACGGCGAAGAGAACAGAATAATGCTATATGTATTTTCGAAGCATTTTAATTCTTTCCCTACGATTATAACTTTGCTTATAGCATCACATTTATTAATTAAAATATTTATTAATGAAATGAGGTTTACAGCAGGATATTTTTTTTATGTGAAAGGTGGCAAAAAAGCAGACGGCCTACTTGGTGGGCAGCTGGTTGGTAACTTTTTTTTTAATAAGTAATAGGGAAGTAATGGAATGTCAGGAAAAGGTGAGAATAGGGAATGGGCAAGCTGGTCTTTTACTCAATGGACGAAACGCAGCCATTAAAGGCTACTCTCTACTACAATTTTTTTTGTATATATAATATGTACGTATATATATGATGTTTAGTATTAAAGAACTTATTCATTTAAGGCATGTATTAAAATATATTTTTTACAATTTTAGTATGTTTGCTGTGCGTCAGTTGAGGTCGGGTCATCCTCAATACGCCTGCACAGGTGTTAACGGATCTTCCTGTCTGATAACTAAAGTGACAAAAAATTTATTTAAATAAATAATAAATAAAATACTATAGGAGCGAACAAATGTCTCAAATAGAACAAAACTTCCTTGTAAAACAGATAATAATTTGAAAGCGACTCAATAAAAAACAAATCACAAACGCAAACAATCTATTGAAGTTCCAAATAACCTTGAAAGCGAAATTTAAAAACATGTTTTTATCTTTATTGTTAGGAATTATAGAATAAGACGATAAAACTGATAAAATTAGAGTATTCTAGAAAATATACACACGTATACACACACGTACACGTACATTGTAATGCACATATACAGTGATATCTATGAAATATTATCTTAATTTGGTTTTACACTACATACATCCATTATGCTATTGCTTCAAATACAAGCTCAGAAAGAATGCCATAGGCTTTCTTTACAGCAGGCGTGATATCCTTGACAGGTTTATTGGCAATTGATAGCCAAGTACTTCCACTTTCACCGCGTTTGAGAACCTCTACTAAACTGGAGGCAGCGGATTCCACCCTGAAACCCAAATTGTTAATATTAAACAATTTCTGGTATATAATTTTATATAAATAAAAATTTTGTTCTATGAATAAAAATATTACGATTGAAGAGGATGTTTTTTTACAACTTCCATCATTCCATCGTGAATTTCTTTGTCAAAATTTCCTAACATATCTTTATGTAAAAGAGCTGTATCAGTTGCCCCAAAACACATTGTTACAATTCTGACACCAGTTCTTGAATAGTATCCAGGCAACTGAAAGACAAAAGGATATGTATCAGTAATGTTTAATAATACGTAAAATTTTATTTTATGCCCCTGCCTGCTCTTTATAGTTATGTTGGCAATGTTTTTGAATTTTATATAATTATTCTAAAATAAAAATAAAACAAACTACGTCATTTCTATAGTGAATGCGAAACGTGTTTAAATTTTTTCTAAAAAATCACTTTTCAATATTTGATTTCTCATTTAATATGTTAAAATCAACACATAATTAGATGTTAACGAATAAACTGTGAAATAACAAAAAAGTAAATAATCCTACCCCAATACAATTGCTAAATTGCAGAACAGCGCTCTTCGTCCCGTAATAGACTGGCAACAATTCGTCTTGGATCAAGGCGGCTATAGATGAAATGTTAAGAACAACACCCCCTCTGCCGCCTTCATCCTTACGCATTATCTCTAACGCCTTCAAAGTACTGGTTATTAAAGCGGTCTGAAACATAATAAAGCGTTTCTCTAAACACATTAAAGTATTAAACAACTTTTCACTTATTAATAACAATAAATTGACATTGATTTATTTTTGGAAATATTATTTCTAAAGTTATTATTCTTGTTTATTCCAAACCCACATTTTACTGAAAGTATTATTGGAATAAAGTTTAGAAGTTAATCATTCTCATATAAAACAAATTATAGAAATCTAAAGTGATGGTAAAGTATACTAACGACATTAATTTCAATCTCTTTCTTATATTTTTCTTTGCTGTCGTTCATAATACCAGCACTGTTAATGACCACATCAATATAACCCTGTTCCTTTAGAACTGAATCATATGCACCAAGTAATTGCTCTTCCTTCGTTACATCACATTGATAGAACTTAACTTTGTTCCCATATTTTTGATTGTATTTATCCGCTTGAGACATTCCAACATCCTTTGCGATGTCCAAGTTGGCAATATGCTAAAAAGAAATAATTTCCACGTATTTCCAATAAGAATTACCATTTACGTAGTTCGTTATGAAAATGCTTTTCTGGCACCAAAATAAATATGAAAAACATATTGTAAAATTTCAATTAGACAATATTTTTTTTAGAAACAATCACGACATGTTAATAAGAAAAATGTCACTCTATGCGACGAATAAAATCTGAACACTTGCTAAAAAAACAATTAAATTTAATGCAAACGTAATAATGTAATTTTATAAAAAAAAATTAACGCTTTTTAAAAAAATGTTAATAAAGTTATATACTTACTTTAACATTTTCTTCCAGTAAAAATTCTATCACCTTAGCACCTATCCCATGAGATCCGCCCGTGATAAGAACAACTTTATTCTGTAATTCGTATGACATCTTGGAAGGCTATGAATTAGAAGTATTTCAAGTCCCTCTATAAATACAGTTTATAGCCAATAACATCGATATATAACAGTAATAAGTGTACTTCAACGCCAAACACTATTAGACAACATGCTATTATCTTATCTTGAGATTTCGGAGTTTGTTCATCAGCGATTACATAATTCAAAATAATTATTGTAAGGTTTTAATTTATGTTTTGAAGCAGCTATAATTTATTTTGCAAAAATGAGAAAGAATGTAATTCAAAATTTACATCACGAAAGAATTCTCATTAGCTTAAGTACAACATACATAACTATCTATCATATACTATCATCGAAATGTGAGGTATACTAGATGGTCCCCAGCGCTTCGAACCTGGCGAAAACTATGCTGACGGTAACTAAGAAGCTGGTTATCGTCTAGGGTAACTGAAAGTTGCGTATTGATGATTCTCTACACAACTATTGATGCCAAGAAGTTATCACAATAGGCCTGTAATTGGATGGATCTGTGCCGTCACCTTTCTTGAGAATAAGGTGGCTATTGAACAATTTCCAAGAAGATGGATCTTTACCAGAGGCCTTAGTAACGAAGTCAATTCAGGAGCTCATTTCTTAAGCATTATATCGATCATACCATCTGGACAGCTATAGTTGGTGTGCTCGAGGGACTCTGAGTAAAATTCATATTCTGTATAGTCTCCCTGAGCCGTGAGGTAGAAGGCGATGCTTAAACCTCATATTTAAAGTTGAATTTTACTTAAAAGGAGTATACAAAAGATCATTCTTCTCTTTTGGGGAAAGAGCTAGCGATCCCGCAGGATTGTTTAAAATTAGTTAAGGGAGCATACAGAAAATGCCTTGCACCGCTTTAACGGGGGACCAAAAAGAAGGAGTTCACGACAAGAAGTCCAGTAATATTTTTCCAATTCTACATACATGACCCCCTTTTATTCTATGAATCTTCTTTTTGTGAGACCTGGAAGCAGTATTGTGATCCTTATGAGAAGCAGCGTAATACCAAGCTCGATATTTTAGCTGTTTCGAGCCTGACGCTCCTCACAGGCTTTACAGACCTATGACTTAAGAATTGCCGCCATTGCGCATAATAAAGATGGCAATATAACATTCCATTTCTTGCATAAGTTATTTGCGACTTTAAAGCGTAGTATGGGACACGCGATCCCTACCATTCACAATGGTGGACATTAAAGTTACCTAGAATCCATACCCCGCGCTGGGATACCGCTAGCGGATAAAATATATAGCCTCCTGGACGGGTCTAAAAAGACATATCACATCACGTGTCCTATGTGCCAGGTCGCTAAAACGTAAAGGAATATTCGCGGGAGAAATATGTATAAGGTCAGGTCTGTAATGGGAGAAATTCAGGTACCTACTAGTATTTTGTTTGGTTTTATAAGAAATAAAAGAAAGCGGTGGAACCAAAATCGAATATTTTTTATATAAGACTTCAGAAGAAAATACAGAAGTAATCAATGGACGATCAAAAACATAACAGATTGAAGGTGTGCTTAAAAAAAATTATGGTATTCTTTAAACTACGAGCTCAGAAAGAATGCTATAGGCTTTCTTTACAGCAGGCGTGATATCCTTGACAGGTTTATTGGCAATTGATAGCCAAGTGCTTCCACTTTCACCGCGTTTGAGAACCTCTACTAAACTGGAGGCAGCGGATTCCACCCTGAAACCCAAATAGTTAATATGAAACAATTTCTCGTAAATAATTGGCTATAAAAAAGTCAGTTCTATGAACAAGGATATTACGATTGAAAGGGATGTTTTGTAATGACTTCCATCATTCCATCGTGAATTTCTTTATCAAAGTTTCCTAACATATCTCTATGTAAAAGACCTGTATCAGTTGCCCCAAAACATATTGTTACAATTCTGACACCAGTTCTTGAAAAGTATCGTGGCATCTAAAAGAAAAAAAGACATATTTCAGTTAAATAGCAACGACATTTTACCTGCAGCTAAATTCTCCTGTCTGCACTTTATAATTACGTTGACAATGGTTTCGACTCTTTTCAATTTATAAATTTAAAAAAACACGTTAACTGTTTCTTAATTGCGAAAACAGTAGTTGTGTAAAAAAATCTTTTTTTTTTGGACATTTTCAGTTTAATGTAATTTGGTTGTAGTTTAAGTACTCTCCATAAACTTTTTCCTTTTGCAATTAAAAATTTGTTGTCTTATCTAACATGTTACTAATCAGTAAAAAAATTGATAACCTATAATAACAAAAAAGTAAATAAACCTACCCCAATACAATTGCTGAATTGCAAAACGGCGCTCTTCGTCCCATAATAGACTGGCAACAATTCGTCTTGAAATAAGGCGGCTATAGATGAAGGGTTAAGAACAATACCCCCTCTGCCGCCTTCATCCTTACGCATTATCTCTAACGCCTTCAAAGTACTGGTTATCAAAGCAGTCTGAAACATGGTAATGTGTTTTATCAAACACATTAAAGTATTAGACAACTTTTCACTTATTAATAACAATAAATTGACATTGATTTAATCTTGGAAATCCTATTTCTAAAGATCATAAAACAAACGATAAAAATCTAAAGTGAGATAAGTATACTAACGACATTGATTTCAATCTCTTTCTTATATTTTTCTTTGCTGTCGTTCATAATGCCAGCACTGTTAATGACCACATCAATATAACCCTGTTCCTTCAGAACTGAATCATATGCACCAAGTAATTGCTCTTCATTCGTTACATCACATTGGTAGAACTTAACTTTGTTCCCGTATTTTTGATTGTATTTAGCCGCTTGAGAAATTCCAATATCCTTTGCGATGTCCAAGTTGGCAATATGCTAAAAAGTGTGTATAATATTGTGACTTACTATACATATTACTTTTAGGAGGGTTTAAATAATAATATTATGCCGTCGTTTAAGAATCATATATAAAGAATTTTCATTTTTCTAATCACAAAAAATACGATTTGATTACCCTGTTATTATTAGATTAGTAATTTAATATATAATAAATTATAATTTCTTATAATACATAATATAAAAATAAAAAATAAAAATAAAATAAAATAATGACTATAAAGGTTATATAACAATAATTAAGTTTAAATACATAATAAAAAACATATTGTGTTTTAATTCTCATTTAATCCAAGAGTGACATGTTTAACAAGACGAACAATATTTATGAAATTAAATTAAATACTCGTAATAGTAAGACTAAGTACAGCACTAGTTTTTATAGAAATCACATTTATTTTATTGTATTTCCACGTGGTTTGTTAATTTAATAGAAGGTTTTGATCTCCAAAATAAATCAGAAAAACTCGTTCAATATATAATTTAAATCAGACAATATTTCTTTTTGTTGGAAATAGGTCGTGTTAGTAATAAAAATGTCATTATACGCGTCGTACAAAATCTGAACACTTGATTGAAAATAATAAAATAATTTTAATAATTAATAATGTTATAGAATTATATACTTACTTTAACATTTTCCTTTAGTAAATATTCTATCGCCTTAGCACCTATGCCATGAGATCCACCAGTGACAAGAACAACTTTATTCTGTAATTCGTACAACATCTTGGAAGGCTATGAACTACAACTACTTGAAGTGCCTCTATATATACAGTTTGCAACCATTAACATCTATACTTTTTATTTTTGTATTTATCTTTTTTTTATTCATTACTATTAAATAAGAGAACTTTTTTAATGATTTTTTATTTTTATTTCCTTGTACTACTTGTAGGTACAAGTGTAAAATACAATAACATAAACGCTTCATCATAATACGTATATTATCTAAAGATACATCTTAATAATCAACAGCAAATAACAATTCAAATCATAATAATTAAATTATCTTTTAAATTGTCGTAATATTCGAAATAATCAAATATAAGATTGAAGATCAATAAAGAAAATGACGTTATAAACGTATAAAATTAATTTTCTACCAAAACCTAATAATGAATTGGTACCTTTAAAATTATTCTGTTATTAGTGCCTGCCTAGTTGTCACATTTATAAATTAGTTGTAAAGACCCTTCAATCAGATCACAATATGATTTTATTTATAAGAATTATTAAATTGAATATCCTCACTTCTACCAAATGTTGTAAATTCTTGTTTTTTTATGGGCTAATCTTGCAGCCTTTAGCTTAGACGGTGTGTCTAAAGGTATATTGCTAAATTTTAGCTGACATCAAAATTTGACTTATACCGTATTGTGGTTATGAAAAACACAAAACGAAACTCCATCTGAGTATATACTTTTTCAAGATATTTTAAGTTATTATAATATGCTTTTTAGTTGCATACTTAAAAGCGCATTACTTACTCAAGACATTATTCCGATTCTGGGCATAGCCATCGGAAAATACATACTATAATAGGTAATGATATCCGATTCAATTTTTTTTTAATTATTTACTTACATTCACACAAGGCAAGATGCAAACAAAGAAGCTTCAAGTAAAGCATACGTTTCGTCAAACCTGTAACAATCAGCCGCGTGAATGGACGATTATAAATAGTAATTTTAGTAAACTTTTTTTGTCTAACAGTATACTATTTACTCGACTAATAAACATTTTGTTCCTCGCTGTTTATATTATATAAAATAACTATTAAGTTTTTATGTATGCTTTGAAATAGCGCTAACTTATTTTACCACTATAAAGAATAGTAAAATTAACTTAAGGACAACATAAATGCCTGTCTAAATTGACGAATATATTCATTTTATCGTACCATATTTATAAATATAATACTAATTACACTCGATCGAAGCTCAAGTGACTTGTTTGATGTACTGATAGATATTTAGACCTCGATTATGACCTTATTTCTTTATTAATCACAAGATCTGTACTACTAAAGAATATGAGATACGCTTAGACATACTCGTACATGATATGTTTTTAATATTTTTCTCATAAGTGGTTATATACATGGTCTAAAACTAATTTCCACTTTAATGTAC